TTTTAGAAGAATCAGCAGGATATTAACAATTCTTAGCAACTTTTCAAAATATTGCAGGAATCATATAAGGCACACTACAACATGTTGTGGTCATAACACATACAAAGCAATCGGAAGTCAGTGAAAGAAGAACAAGAAACTTTGAACATTAAGAATTGTGTCTTACACATCTATTTCACTCTACCAAAATAACTGATGCTTATTCTTTGTCACTTACCTGTCCTTTTGTTTTAGGCCAACACATATGAAAAGTATTGGGGGTTTTATCAGAAATTTGGAGGCCAGAGCTTCCCCAAAGACCATTTAAAAAAAGCTATTGCTGAAATTGAAGAGATGTGCAATATTTTGAAAAGAGAAGGTGTAATCGTCAAGAGGCCTGATCCAATTGACTGGTCTGTGAAGTATAAAACACCTGATTTTGAGTCTACAGGTAAATTTGCTTCCATTGTTGAAGGTCTTGTCTGTTTAGCTCTTGTCTGAGACATTTTGGATGTCATCTAGTCTACCTTCTTGCTTGAAGCAGGATTATTGCCAGTGCTAGATGAGGTCAGCGATGGCTTTGTGTAGCTATGCCTTGCAAAATCTCCAGGGATGGAGATTCTGCCACCTCATTTGCTGACCTGTTTCAGTGCTGCATGGACTTTCTAATGAAAGGTGTTTTCCTAATACCTAACCGGAACTTCCCACGCCAGCATCTGTTGCCAGATTCCCTTGCTATGTTGTCACTGCCACTACCAAGAAGTGTTCATCTGTCATGTTTAATGGCCCAGAAAGTAGCTGTAGGCTGTTACTGCTTTGTCCCCTACTTGCCACACAAAATAAGCTGAGCTTCCTCTGCTTCTCCTCCTAGGTCATGTGCTGTAAGGCCCCCACGACTGTCTTGATAGCCCTTTGTTGGATCTTAAACTATGGAGGCCAAAAGTAGAAACAGTTTTCCAGGAGGATCCTCACTCGTGTCAAGGAAATTTGAATGTCTCTTTGCCTACTGGCCACATTCCTCCTTGTATAGCACCATGTGGCTTTGGTTATTTGCAGTGAGAGCACACTGGCTCATACTCAGCTTTGCATCAAGTGTAGTCTCCAGGCTCCTTTCATGTCAAATGTGTTCTTAAGTTGTTCTAGTGGAATTCAAATTCATTAGCGAACAGATAATGAAAAGTCTAATGGGACTGCTTCCTGTACTAGTTCTGTGCTCCATCAAATTCCTCTTCTGTGCTATTACTTTTTAAAAGGATGGTATATAAAGAAATGAGGTCCACTTGGAAAACTTGCTACCCGTCATCACCTTTTAATGTTGTCTGAGTAATCCATAAACATTTGTGTAGTTAATTTCCATTAACCAAATTATAAAGTAGAGGCTTGTAGGTTGTGAATGGCTTTCATCTAGTTGTGAACTTGTTATGAGTGAGGCTTTGTAGCAAAATGTTGCATGTATTTTGAACAAAAAATGTCACTTTGAAAACTTACTGAAGAATGTAAGGACCTCAAATTATACCCTGGTTTCCTGACTTTTGTAACAATGCTTTTTGCCGGTCTTTTGGATAGAAGTAATGGTAAAAAGGAGGGTGAAAAGTGAATAAGCTGAAAGAGCTGAGAAAAGCATATTTGTCTTGTAGGTTAATGGCCTTTTTCCTTTCAGGTATGTACGCTGCCATGCCAAGAGACATCCTGTTGGTGGTGGGAAATGAAATTATTGAAGCGCCTATGGCTTGGCGTGCTCGGTTCTTTGAGTACAGAGCATATAGACGAATAATCAAAGATTATTTCAGCTGTGGTGCTAAGTGGACAACTGCCCCCAAACCCACAATGGCAGATGAACTCTATGATCAGGTATTGTTCTCATTTTGCTTCAGAACTTCAGTTCTGGTTATACAGAATTCTGTTGATAGTTTCAACCTGATATCTAGGTTTCACAAAATTGGGGGAGAACACAAAACAACTCTGGAAATTTGTGGTTTATCTAATGTGTGCAAATAATCTGTAGCCTTTCCAGGTGCAAATGAGTGTGTGCAATTAGGGAATAAGAAACAGGAAGTTGTGCCTGTTGAATTCAAGTCTGCTTTGAATTGTTTTGGTTACTGGCTGTGACTTGGCATTACTAAAGAGGAAGGAATGCTAGAAAGACAACACAAAGATTACTTTAAAGAATTGAGATATCCTGAGAATGTCCCTATGTCCTGAGTGTATCAGGAAAGTGGGAAAGAATATATATTTTTGTCACAGAAAATACCTCATAATCCTTGTTTTGCATGATGATCAGTATTTTGAAAGTTACATAAAAGAAACAGTGGAGGAGCTAAACTGTGAGTATTTACCTTCCACATATTTAATTTTGTTTTTCTTTTGTAACAATTTTGAGTCAGATAATTTTGGACCTTGGTAAGAACATCTACAATAAGTGCAGTAAAACTGGAAGTGGAATGATTATAACTTTCTGGGAACAGTGACATCTTATCAATGATGCAAAGAAGTCTGTTTAAACAAAATTACCTTTGAGTAATCTGTCAGTATTAGAAAACTTCCAGAGTCTTGTTCTAAAGCATGCTTACTTATCTAGTAGTTTTTGTCTGTGCTGTTTTTTTTCCACCTCATTTGTTCTTAATAGCATTGTTTCATTCTAAAATCTATTTAAATTCCTGAAGATCTACCTTCTAGCTTGAAGTACTGCTCCATTCTAAAATGTGGAAAAAGTAGGGAGTCCATCTTTGTTAGGAAATAGCTTGCATGCCAGTATTTCTGTCACTGTGCAGTGATTTGTTGGACTGTTAGTTAAACTCCACTGGGAATGAATGCTTTTGATCCAGAAGCCAGAATATTATAGAGACAGTGGCTCTGAAGAGCGATTAACTTCTTGGTATAACTATTATCTCTTATGTCATCACTTACTCTTGAATGTACTTAAAACCTTTTACTTAAACTTCCACATTTATGCTTTCTTTTTTTATTCTAGTAACAAGTAAACCAAACCACCTCCAAGGAACATACTAGCTATCAATATAAACACATTTTCTTCATTTCAAAATACTCTTCAGTAGCAAGTAGTTTGAAAACTTTCCCTTACCATCTCAAATCTAAAGTTGTTACTTGTTTTTCTATAATTAGGATTATCCAGTCTGCTCTGTTGAAGACAGGCATAAACTGGCTGCTCAGGGAAAATTTGTAACTACTGAATTTGAGCCATGCTTTGATGCTGCTGACTTCATTAGAGCTGGAAGAGATATCTTTGTACAAAGGAGTCAGGTAAACAATGGTTTCTTAGAACAGCTCTGGTATCTATCTTAATGATTGATACTTGCATTCATGTCTCTTTAAATTCCTGAACAGCATTAAAATAATAGTGTTGACAAAAGAAGTTGCTATTTGTAGAATGTCTGATATACAGGATGAGACTGTCTTACAGCTAAGAGGTTAGCTAAAAGCACAAACTTATTATTTGGACTTTAAATAGTTATTAAGATAAAACCTTAGATAAACTAAGCTTGGATGCAGTTTATATTCTAGCCTAGTGAAACTTACTTTGTCCTGTTTTCAGGTTACAAATTACATGGGCATTGAATGGATGAGGCGACATCTTGCACCAGACTATAAAGTGCATATCATATCCTTTAAGGATCCTAACCCTATGCACATTGATGCCACTTTTAATATCATTGGACCCGATCTTGTGCTCTCTAACCCAGACCGTCCCTGCCATCAGGTAAGAGTGTAGCAGAGGGGAAAGTGTTTTGTGTTTAAAAATGACTCAGCTGGATTAAGTCCCTGCTGGATAATTGCTAATCCACAAGTTTATTTTGTATACACTTGAACAATGTTAAATTACTGAATTTAAATAGCACTCGCAGTTGTTTAGGAACTTATAGATGTATTTGCATCTTGACTCTAGAACTTTCTCAGCAGTACAATGACCATTGTTCTCCCCCAGTTTTCTGCTGCTGCTCTTTGTGCTTTCTTATTGTGAGGCTAGGCAGATGTGTTGTGTGTTTCTTCCTACGTATATGGTTTAAATGTGATGGAAGTGATCTATTTTGTAATAATGTAGTATCAAAGCAAGTACATAGGATATACTACTTCTCTGAACACTTCCACTACTTAAATATATTAATTGTATCCAAGGGGAAATTAAGGGGTTTCTGCTGTTCAGATGAGTAACCCCCCTCTTTATTCTTATTTTGGAAGCCTCTCCTTTGGTATTATTAACTGTACCAATAGCAGGAGGCTGGTAATTGCTCAAGCATTCAGCTCTGAATAACTGAGCGAGAAGTTCTTCTTGAAGAGTGGGAAAGAGGAGAGACATGGTTCAGTATGTAAAACCTACTACTTCACTCTGAGAAAAAGCTAATACTGCTAAATAGTGCAATCAGATCAGAAAGCCCTCCAGGGAGTAAGAGCTTATCTGTTACAGGCCTGTGACCCGTACTGTCAGTGCTTGAGGATTCTTGTGAGGATCCCCATGATTTCAGGAGCTGTACCACCACATGGGAATAGCTGAGCCGATACTTAATCAGTGGGATAGAGCTGTGTGCAGCAGAGAGGATGGAACCATGTGCACAGCATAGCTCTTAAAAGCAATATTAGTATCTTCGCAGCAAGTGGCTTCAATGCAAATGGTCCCATTGAATTTATTGCCTTTTGTAATATCCATTATAAGAATATATTTTTTAAAAACAATCATAGTCTGTTCCTCCCCTTTTCCCTTCCCCTGTTTTTCATAATCTTACTTGCAAAAGGAGGCTCTTGGTCTCCTTGTGTTAAACCCATGTGCTGGGACTTTTTTCATGGAAAACTGCTGTCTGTGTAGATAGAAAAGATAGATGCAGCTTTCTTTCATAAAAACTGCTTTAGCAGTTCTGGATGACCAGGAAATGGGGGGAAGTGCGGGTGAAAGGTGGGTTTTTTTGGGTTTTTTGGTTTGTTTGTTTTTTTTTTTTTTTTTTTTAAAATCCTGCCAGGCCAGGCTGGTTATTGAGTTTTCAGAATCGGAGCTCCACCTCGTGGTAACACTTGAATAAAGAACTTTTCCAAGTATTCAGATAATTGAAAAGTCAATTCTCCTTAGCCAAAATTATCCTCCTCTTATTTTTGACTTAATTGTGTAACTCTTAGAGACACAAATTGTTCCCTAGGATGCCTTTAGTTTGTTCCCTTTGTTAAATAAACTGCATATTAAGTTTCTTACGAAGCATAATGCAAACACGATTTTATGTGGTATTTTTGGTGGTTTTGTTTCTATAAATGGCAGTGTAATTCATATCAATGGCTTTTACAGTTATATGGGAAGAAATAATACCAAAAATAAAGAATGTAATACTTTTGCACTGTTACTAGTATCTGTATTTCACAGGCTCTAAACTTCATGTGTTACTTTTTGTCTTTAACATATCTTAGTATACCTAGCATATATAAAAACAGTAGAAGCAAATGCTAGTGCTATGCAAAGTTTGAAAAGGCTTTGCAAAAATGCTTATATGAAAACCAGGTTTGCAGATGGAACTTGAATGAGGGCAAGAGTAGTGAACAAAGGGAAGGGGATATATATTGAAGTAGCCTGAGAAAATGTGGCATAGGATGGAGGACATAATACTTTAAGAACCCTGTTCACAATATAATTAAATTACTCTTTCAGATTGAGCTCTTCAAGAAAGCAGGCTGGACTGTGATTCGCCCCCCAGTGCCACTCATCCCAGATGGTATATTCACTCTTTCTTTTCTAAGAATTCCAAGAGTATTCTTAAGAGTATTAATATGGGGCAACATTGGTACAGTAGAAGTTTCATTCTCATGTGTTTAGATCACCCACTGTGGATGTCTTCTAAATGGCTCTCCATGAATGTCCTAATGCTGGATGAGAAACGTGTGATGGTGGATGCCAATGAGACATCAATTCAGAAGATGTTTGAAAATCTGGGTATGTCCTAACACACTTGAACATATACTTAAAACACAATGATCTTGATACCAGCTATACACATCAGGATGAATGGAGGTTTCACTTAAAGTAGTCAAAGCAGCCAGCGCTGGAAAATGTACTCAATTGGATTAGTAAGTAAGCATCATTCAGTGATTTCTCTCCTGAATACTTTAGTCATAAGAATATGGGCTTCTTACATCTTGTGCCCCCTACAGCTTGCAGCAAATAAAGGTATGAGTAGCAATTAAATTTACAGTTTCATGCTTTTGAATGAACTTTTTTTTTAATGTAAAACTTTCTGTTCGGTTTGGAGGTCAAAATCTGTCTTGGAGAGGTTGAGTGCGCATATTGCTGAGTGATGTAGTGCTGGCTATCCCTCATTGCCAAAATGCTTTCAGATTTTTCTGGTTTCAAACTCATTGTACTTTAAGCTGTCAAATTAAGAGCACTTAACCTGGGTATTTCTGCTCGTTTGTGGAGGATCTGTCCTGTGAGATGTAACCTCCTGATAGCATGGAATTTTAGATATACAGTGCAAGAGAACTGTAACAGAATATAAAATCTGAAAGTCTTATTATGCACAGCTAACTCCAAAGACAAATAATACAGACTTAAAAATCTGAACTCATTCAGTTAATCCAACTGTTTCCATCATGCTGGGAGGGAAGGATGTAGGTAGATCTACTTGTGGCTCACAATTTGTTAGTAGGAGGGTAGCCAGATTGCTTGGTGCTACAGCCAGCTGACTATTGCTGCAGGGTAAGTACATGGTGATGCAAAAGTTGACAGGGGAGAAAGAAGACTGGTGGGTAGATGAGAAGTCAAGGGAAGTGAGGGATCGTTGTATTGTAGAGTAAAAGATAATACTCCCCAATAGCGAAAGACTCCTTTAAAGGGAGAAAAATGATGGGAAGGAGAGAATGATCCAAAGATCGAAGATACCAATTGTGAACCTAGAAGGAGGGTTGGTGCCATGGATGTGAGTGCACTTATTGAAGCTTCCCTCAAATCTGAGACAGACTGCAGGTGAGAACCATGCAATCTAATGCTTTAATCTGCTTTTAAAGACTGGCTATACAACTTGTAGTGAATCACTTAGCTTTTCAATCTTAGGTTGTTTTAATTCTCTGCATGACCAATGAGCTGAGGAGTTATAAATGCTTGAAAGTACTTAAAAAATGAGGCCATTAATGCTAATCATGACATATCTTTCACACTTGAACTTCACAGTCTGAGCGAGTTCTAAATAAACTCCTGTAGTCAGTAACTTCCTAGGACTGAGATGGGTCTACTGGGAACAAAACTATTGCTGACCTAGATGATAGATTCTACTGAGCTGCTCCTGAGCTCCTGAAAGTACCAAGAAGCAAAAAGGCAAACTTTGTAACAGAAAAGTCTTCTGATCCTATCTGTCAGGACTTTGTATAAGCTAAGCCACAGCTGAAACATCAGAGCTGAAAAGAAGTGGAAAGAAGCTTAACCTAGGTGTAGTAAGTGTAACAGCCTTTTTAGCCTCTACAAGAAAGAAAGACTCGGAGCTCTGTACTTTGAATGCTTCTTTTCTTGAAAGGCACTTGAAAGAGCACACTTCGTGTCTGAACCATAAATGCTCACACAGACTTACGTCAATGTGCCCTGGTCACATATTGTAGCAGAATTTCAGCTAATTCTTCACATACCGCAAAAATGGAATTTTTCTTTTTATTACTGGCACATTGTAATACATCAAACACCGGCTGTGCTCCAGGCACTGTATATTCCTGAGGGTATCGCTGGAATAAACAAGTCGGCTATGTTCCTAGCTTGTTCTCTGCCTAGAATTTGTGAAAAGAAGTTCTTAACAAATGAGTAGGAAATACTTTCTGTACTTGCATCGAGCCATATGATCTGATAAAGCATTATCTAATGTTCTGATCAAAGCTTACCACATGAATTTCAGACTTTAATTTTAAAGTATGTAATGTATGTTTCTTGCAGGCATTTCTACAATTAAAGTGAATATTCGCCATGCCAATTCACTGGGAGGTGGTTTCCATTGCTGGACATGTGATATCCGCCGCCGTGGTACCCTGCAATCTTATTTTGACTAGTTATGAGCCAGATAGGCAGCAATGGTTCAGCTTCTAAAATAAGCATAGGAAATTAACAAATTAATTTCACTTTTGTTAAAACAACTGCATGGGCTCTAGTGCTTGATCAGTGGTGTCCTTAAAGTGGTCTGGTAAATGATTTATTCTTACGTACTCTTCACGTTCAGCAGTATCATTGAAAGTCTTTCCATCAGCAATACGGGTTTTCTGGCTGGCTTTTTGAAAGACATCCTTCATCTATGAAGCTGTTTCACATTGACTTCGAATGTAAAAACTTGACAAGATAGCTAAAGGGTCTTGCTAGAATAGCTTGGCCCCTAATACTGGACATCTACCTCTGTCTAGTTACTCTATCAAATAGGCAGCTTGAAATGTTAAACTTGAGTAAACTCTTCTTACTCCTTTTAATCAGTCTATTGTTCTAATATATTCATGTTTAATGATGTTAAAATAGATGCAACTGTACAGATCTCTTATTACAAAATTACTTGGTTCCATGTTTTTCATGTTGAGCCACACAGATATTTACAGAGAATTTCCAGTATGATCTAACTTTTAAAACATGTTCACTTACTTCCCATGTCCTTCTACACTTTCTTCTGATGCATTTGTCATGCATCTGAATACTTTTTTATATTGCTTTTTGTATTGCTGAAATTTGTTTTTATTTAACTTTTAAGTGTTTACATAACTTAAAAAAAAAAAAAAAGCACAAACCAAAAAAAAAACCCCACCAAGAAGCCCCTCTCTAACCCTAAACTTCTGACATCTTAGAACTCCTTGTTCTAACTGTAGCAGATACAGGAAGATGCATCAAGCATGCCAGATGCTGTGAAGGAATTTGAGTATTGATTACTGAATATGTACTTTTTATGCTAATAAAGTTTTTTGCATTCTCAATTTGTCACCCTTCTGAAAATGAGTAAGCATGAAATGTCTGGATGGGTAAATGTTTTTAGAACACAGATGGAAATAAAAAAATACACATGCATTTTTTTCTTTTTTCTGTAAAACGTGTAATATCTTAGGCACTTGTATAATGCAGGAAACCCTTGTCCTATATTGTTCATATAGTATGTTTCTGCTTCTGTTTTGCACAGAAGTATGACTGGTGGGGGAAAGTAACACTAATAGATGTTTCTTACCAGAGCATGGAGGAATCTACAAGACAGATGATGCAGTGCACCTTGACAGAAAAGGTCTCACAAAATCAGATGTTAGGTATAATAACATCCTCATGTATAAACAAGCTTCACGCTATAACCTGTATGACCATATCTTACCCAGAGTTGGGTAGGACTAAACAGGTTCTATGTCAACAATCTAGAATGCTTTAAGATAGGTCAGACTGGAAGAGCTAATAAGACAGCTGCCACCACTTGACTGTGTAGAGATGGTCCCTCTTTTCCCTTTAAAATCAACGCTCTTTACACAGCGCAAATTCCTGTAACCAAGATTTGCTTTCCAATATTGACAACAAGAGCTGGACAGCTGGGTAGAGCAGCATGCACAGCAGCTCATCTTTCCCATTGTTCTGCATGTGGTAGTGCTGAAATAATGTCTGTGTTTGTGCTTGGCCTAGTAATCACAAGGTACAGCTAAAACCATTAAAAACTCTGGCCAAATGTGGATTAGTAGCAGGACCCATGCACCCCTGATACCTCCAGGATTAAGGAGACTATATCATGTTATACATGACCCCTACTTGACAGGGCAGTGGTGCTCTACATGAACATTACAAAAAGAGTGCACTCTTTGAAGCAATTGTGGTATAAGACCATCACAATTTCTTTTTTTTCCCCTAAATGAATGTGATTGACCTCCAGTGATGAAAGTACTGCATGTGCCATGACCTTAATGTTCCCTTTCTCTGGAAAACATGCTGCTGTCTGCTCTGATGTGATTGATCATTTCTTTCTTGTTCTTCAGAGCAATAGGAAAGGAAGGATTGGTGGGGATGTTTGCCTGTTTATTCTGATAATGAAGGTGTAGTTCTTTCAAAAATAGCATAGACTGGAGATTTTGACATCACAGGGAAACACTCAAGACACATTTAGCTTCAGCATTAGACTAATAGCTTAAGTTTAGTTCCCAATAAATGCTCGAACTCTACAGTTTTTCAGTTACCACCATTCATACGCTATTTTGATTTGTAGCATTGAATTAAGACATGGGTATCCAATAGTGAACATGACTGAAAAATTATTAAGAACCTTGGGTAAGTTATTTATACCCATCTGGGAGGATTGCAAAAAGCAAATGGCAAAAAATCCAACAAGGGCTGTAATTTACCCTTTGTGTTAAATTCTTTTTTTTTCCTTTTTCAGGGGGAAAATGCTAGAATTCTTTTTTAGCCTTTTCTGTTTTGTATGGATTCTCACCTCTGTGATTCTCAGGCTCTGCTGCTTGTGGGCTGTTTCTTTTTAGGCATGTCATGCACTTCCATGGAACCACATACTCTTTGAATCTGCTCAACACGTAGGTGTTTTCCTAGAGTTTTAAAGTGTAGGAATTATTACTTTGATGACAAATACATAAGCTCTAACGCTGGCACAAAGCTGTCTTTACAGCAGGTCTGTATCACTTAATTTTTTTCTTCAGTTCATTTTAGGTAGCTGAAATAACCAACCCAACCAAGCAAAAGTACCAACTAGGAAGTTTAGGCATCTAGTTTAACAGGAAAGCAATGTTTTTACTATGCTTTCCTATTTAGACCATGACAAAAAATAGATTTCAAAATTTCTAATGTCATAGTTTAGCTTTAGCCTTCTTATTTGTAATACTCATTTGAAGAGCAGCTTCAAGAATTAATACCACTTTTCTTCTGTAACCAGGAATTTTGTTGTTTTATGTAGGTTAAGTTAATACACAGATTAGCTGGAATTGCTCCTTTTCTGTACCCTTTTGGGCAAGCTGAATTGTGTTTAAAAAAATCTGGCTATAGTCTCAAAGGATCAGAATTTTTCTTTTCCATTCATAAAATAAATTCACTTTAGAAAAGGATATTACTCAGCACCAAATTTAGGTGTCAAAACTCTGACTTTATAAACATTTCAGCCTTTCCCCAGCTTTTTGGCTTATCTCTTATCGAATGCTCTTTTTTTTTTTAATCTTAAGCTGCTCACACAGAAGCAAGTCTTTCAGCCTGGAAACCACCAGTATGCTTCTGAAGTTGTTTGGTTTTTTCCGTTCGGTAATACAAGTTCTTTTACCTAATCCTTGGAGGGTTTGACTGGTTTGGGAATAGACTTGTCTCTTAAGTCATCCTTCCTTCAACAAGGAAGGCAGGGGAGTTGTTCCACATGAGCAGAAGCTTTCTGTTCAATTTCAGCAGTCGTGTCAGAATACACATTGGAGAGACACACTAGCAGAAATGCACTGACATGAGGAAGCATTACTACCATCATTTTGGAACAGAGGATCTGGTGGTGTCAATATTTTTGAGACCACCTCAGACCTGACTCCTTCACTGACCTTAAATTGCTCAGTTAGCCAATCCGTTTCCACATAAGTTAAAAGGGAACCACACTTAGGTACTCCATGAGGTATAGCAATGGTTAAACAATAAATGCCTGGAAACTGCTCCAGCCTACAAAAGTGCTGAAGACTACTTGGGAACCCGGAGGGATCCTGTGTAAGTCTCCTGCAGCGCAAGGCCAGCGAGGACAAAGTTTGTATCTCTCCTAGAACTGCAATAATTTCCCACCAGTGCAGGGAATATGAGAATTTATTCGCATTTACAAATGTCCCTGGGGTGGATAGGCATGTCTGTACTACCAAATGTAAAATTACCGTGCCTCACAATTTCTTCTGTCCTGTCAGTGTTATTTGGAGATATGATTGTGCCGCTATAGGACAGAATTTATGAAGTGGACAATACAATGATAAAAAAAGTTCAAAGGTAAATTTTAAAGCTCTAGTGGGCTTTCTTTATAGTGTAAGAACTTGAAAAATGCTGATGAGAAGCAACATTTTCCCCAGTAACCCATTCAAGAGGGAGTGATACAGAGACAGCAAAACCTTTAGAGGAATGATGAAGGGAACATGGTATATAATATTGTTATGGTGGATGCCACCACATAATACTGATACATATAATCTTCCGAGTTATTTTTATTCTTGCAGAGAGGGAGGTCAGCCCGTGCCACAGTTGGTTTTGGTTAGACAAGACCCTGGAAATAGGAATCTACAGTGAGAAACAGAAAGGCTTGGTTTTTGCTTTGATATCCAATTACAAGCAAATTTTTAAGGCCAAATTACATGTGGGCAACAGGATACTATTGGCCAGAGGAAGCAGGCATGATGGTGTTTGGCCACCTCTGTTCCAGGCTGCAGTTTATATTTTGCTTAAATAAAGCAGATTAAACGTGGGCTGGACTTGAATTCTCTGCAATTTGTTTTTCACTGGCTGAGAAGGCCTTAAATACTTGCTATTGCTTGGCAGAAAGTCCGTTTCAGCTTTCAAAATAGACGGCACCATCAAAAGAAGCAGCAGGAACACAGACCTGACTGGGAGGCCTAAAACTGCATCAGTTAGAGCTGTAAGGATAAGGAAAGGGGATAAATCAGTTGCCTAATCTACAGAGTTTTTCAGGGCGGGCTTGGCTCAGCTGCAGGGAATTAGCTAACCACTCCCTGGGCTAGGGCCCTGGGGAGCTAAGATTTTCCTTCCATTTTGCTTCTGCAACTGGGCTGCAGTAAGCTCAGCGGTTACGAGAAGCCATGCGTATTTGCACAGATGCCTGTAATAAAGATTCTTCATGTCAGTTTTTTAGATAAGATACAATTCTTAAAGTCCCAGCACCAAACCAGAGAGGATGTGGAAAGAAGGTAAAGCCTTTGAGGCAGGGATAGCCTCCTGCTGTGTATCTGTAGTTCATGGTTGGGAGCCCTAAGTGCTGATACGATACAAAGTGGGGGAAGGAGGAGGGGTTTGCCCTATTTGGTGGACAGAAGAATGGTTCTCTCCAGTCAGTTGCTTCAGATTGTGTCTGTGCTAGCAGAAAATGGTTGTTTCTTGTTTTGGTATATCCTGAATGTTTCTGCTGTCTAGCTTAAAATACTCTCTTTTTGGTTCTATTTTTTGGCATCCATATGATTAATAACCCAAGCTGCAATTTGGTGAACAGTTCTGCAACTGCTATGTCAATGCCTAAGAAGGGTATGCTGATGTCTACATGACTCCATATAAAATTAGT